ACTTATGCTATCATTATTCTCATATTAGAGATAGGAAACATCTCTACCTTTTCCAAGATTATATATCCAGTACATGGCAGGGCCAGAAGAATTTAGCTTTGATTTCAATACCCAGAGGAAGCCAAATTTTTCATTGTTTCTTAGGATAAAGTCCTATTTGTTAGTGATTTCTTTGTAATTTTTGTTGCCTCAAATTCAGTTTGAATTTAGGATAGGGTTTACAGTTAATTAACTTAGAACCTTTTATTTTGAAAAAATGAGTAGAAAATGTTTTATTCTGTCCTTCAGAGCTTCTGTGTTTTAATAGATTTTACTAAAAATGTATGGGTAATTGAGGAAAAATGGCCATCTCTGTGCAACCAACAGCTACAGTGTTTTACTACTTATTGGAAAAAGAGAAAGTAAGACCATTCACTGGCCTTTTAGGTTTCAGTAGAGAGCAGGAAGATTGGTCACCATTGCTTCCAGACAAGGGAATCACTCCCCCACTGTATCGGTGCTGAGCTTTTCACGGGTGTACTGCGGTAGGCTCAGGTTTAATGAACCGAGAGACAAGGAAGGCTTTTGTGGAAGCAGGTTGTATTTTTTCCTCATTTTGAGTAAAGAAGGGTATATTAGCTTCTAAATGATATTCTAGGCAAGGAAGAGGTTTAAAAGAGTACAGAAGCAGTGGGGTTTTTTGGGTGGTTGTTATTCTCTATATAGTGACTAGCACAGTGCAAAGGTACTTTATATGCAGATTTGTATTATGCTTGGTAGTAGGCAGATGCCCTCTAATGTTATGTAAAATTAATGGAATACAAGTAGGGTAGGCTCAAATAAGGTAAGGTATATAATAATTGGGATGGGGAAGTGATCTTTGAATTCTTCCTAAAATTTTCTCTGTCACTCTTTTTCTTTGCTACCACTTGCGGTGTTCTTAGGTCACTGGACTTATTTGGGCTGGGGAGAGCAGCAGAGTACGTAAGAATTTGAATTCCTTATAATTTTCTTGATCTTACCCTTTAACATATTCTCTCTGAACTATGAAGCTGGATATTCATGCATATAAGCATATTCAATTTCATCCCCTTCCCCTCCCCTCTTTAAATCTCAGGAGATGGTTATCTGCAGTGAAATGTTACATCCTTTCAGGCTGGTTTCTTGCAGACTGTGTGTGTATGATAGTAATAAATTTCAATCAAAAGTCCCAGTTACAGTCCTGCTAGGATCTCCTGACTTTTCTTTCCCAGAGACAAGTAGTACCCTCAGCCCCCAAAGGAAAGGGTGTAAGAAACCCTTTCCTTTGGTTTGGTTTGGTTTGGTTTGGTTTGGTTTGGTTTGGTTTGGTTTGGTTTGGTTCCTTTGGTTTAGTCACGAGGGAGTGCAGTGACTAAAAGGAGGTGTTTCATTCTGGGAAAAGTCATTGGTTTTGTGTGGTGAACAAGAGCCTGAGGACTTTCTTAAAGCAACTCAGGTAGGCTGGAGGCCAGCTTTGTTTAAGAGCTTGGAGAGTGGGTAGCCAGATCTTTCCAGCAAGATATATAGCCCTGGGCTGACATTACTGGCTGTGCTATCCAGCTGGCAAGGGGGTTTGGTTGAGTCCCACTGATTCAGTGTCCAGTAGGTCCTAAGAGGGGCCAAGTTTTGTCCTATCACTGGAATTTCTCATGGAGTATGTATTTTCTGTGATTTGAGTCCTGAATATTTTCACTAGGGAACTGCTCAAATGCAGCCTAAGAGAGTGCAGATAACTTAAGGTTTTAACCAATTGACAAAGGAGAGGGGGGTAAGGGGGGAACTGGATGAAAGAAGGTGAAGGGATTAGCCAAAGAACATATGTGCATGACCCACAGATACAGACAACAGTGTGGTGATGGCCAGAAGGAAGGGGGAGCAAGGGTGGACAAAGGGGGGGATGGGGATATGTGTAATAGTGTAAACAATAAAAATAAAGTAAAAAAAAATCAAAGCAAACACACACAAAAGAAAAAAATACCTAAGATCTAAAAGAAAAGTTTGAATTCTTTTTCCTTTTTTCTCTGGCCAGTAAAGTTCTGTCTGTACTCTGTGTTTAAAGACAGGGACTCAATCCAGGACCACCACAGAAGGGAGAGCCTCCTTGTTCAGTATCTCATTCGTTTTTGTTCGATTGCCTCCTCTGCACCCATGACCATATTTGCCCCAGATTAAATTCTTTCCCCAGTTTACTTTTACAGGTTTATTTTCTATCATTCCCATTCACATTCTTCTTTTCCCTTTCTCTCTCATCTCACTTCGCTTCCATATGTTCCCTTCCTCCTGTTTCCTCCTACTTTTCATATTCTCTTTTCTTCTACTCCCAACCTTTTCTTTCCATAGACATTTTGTTTCTTAATATTTGTACTTTATTTCTTTAGTGTAGAAATACTGTTAGCCTTTAGGAAAATTTTGGGATATTCCTCCCCTTAGCCTAGCAAAATTAAAAAGCAAAGCATCATTTAGAAGTAATAGGTTGGATGCAGTAATAAGCTAAGGAAGGTCCCATCCACGCAGTGTCTGGCTCTGGATCATGGATTTCTACCTCTGGCTGAGCTACCCTTGCCTGGCCTCATAATCAGTAGGATTGTGTATCACTGCTCTCCCTTGGGGGACTCAGTCTTGGTTTTATGGGTTATGTGCTAATATTTCTCCTGCCAAAATTTAAGTAGACTTTTTGCTTTGTCTCCTTTGTTGCATCTTCCACCTTATCTGTATGCATGAATAATACAGTACCGACTTTTTTCACACTTACTGCTTCTGTGGGTTCAGGGAGAATGAAATCTGAAGGGCATACTGGTTTTTATCCCTTGATCCTTTCTAGTCTTTGGAACAACAGATGCATCAGGGTTTAAAACCAATGTCTCCAAAGTCTTTCTCCTAATGTGTGATCAGAATGCTTTGTAAGCAGAATGCTTTGCACCCCCTAGTTTTTGACTAATCTTATTCCTGTCCATTTTGAAGGTTAGTCACTTTCTTGTACTGATATTTTCCCTGGAGTTCTGATCACAAGCCTCTTCTTTTATATTCACATGTTTTCTTAAACTCAAGTGGGAAAAACTTACCCCTGCATCCTGCTGTATCCACAAGTGTTGTCTGGAATCCAATGTTCAAATTTTCTTCCTTGCGTGTAAAACCCATATGTTTGTGCTCCCTGTCTATTTTGGTAGAGTTATCTACTAGGTTGTATAATGTAGAAGCCAAAAGGTTATTCTCCTGTTACCTTCTTTTTGTCCCCAACTTTTATCATTACTGTCTGGGTTTTTTCCCCCCTAGTTCATTAACTTTTTTCTATTTCGGAGGAATGGATGCAGGTTCTTATCTCCTTCATGAGAAATTGTATGAGCCTAATTTTATCATATTCCAAGAGGCTTTCATTTCCCGCACTTTTACCAAGGGGGTTTTTGAAAAATTACTAATATGAGGAGTCCATCCTTTGCTAAATATATGCCAATTTGGGGGATGATACATGTTCCTTTTCCTCATTGTGAGCCAAATGGGAATTTGGCAAGAAAGGACATATGGGAATTTGTTAATTAGACACATATGGGGATGGTGTCAGAAATGGTTTCCCTATAAAATAATCTATTACATTGTCCAAAAAATTTGTTGAGCTTTTTCCATACAATGGCCCTAGTAGTGCTCAGTTGTCTTTAACTTTGTTCAAAACAATTTTATTAGATTGTATTGTGACAGCTGTCCTATCAGAATACATTTTTTAAAAAACTTACCAAAATTGGTGAATTTTTTGTGTAGCCATTTTAATATTGAAGATGGAAGAAGATACACAACATTTTAGGCATATTATGTTTTATCTTTTCAAGAAAGGTAAAAACACAACTGAAAAGCAAAAAAAAATTGTGCAGTGTATGGAGAAGGTGCTGTGACTGACTGAATGCATCAACAGTGGTTTGTGAAGTTTCTTAGTACTACTGACATTTTGGCCAAATAATCCTTTGCTGTGGGACTGTCTCATAGATTAGAAGATGTTTAGCAGCATCCCTGGCCTCTCCCCTCTAGAAGCTAGTAGGGGGAGATAGCCAACATACTAAAAATGTCCATATCAATATAGTTATTGGTGAAAATGAAAAACGTGTGTTTTATTTTATGGAAAAAGCTTAACAGACTTTTTGGCCAGCCCAATATAAAGCATTATTAGGTTGAGCTTCCTTTCCGAGCAGTGTTGTACATTTTCACTTTTGCTTGGAGCAGGTTGTATAACTGTGTTCATCATTTAGTGTGCCCTGAAAAACAAAAGTAATTCTATGAAACTGTAGTCACTACTGTTAGATAAAGTTGGCTGCGCTGTTAGCACGATCCCACTGGCAGTGCATGTGTTCTCCTCTTCTTCAGCCCATGCTTTCAAAAGGAATTCTGAACCTCGAGTGTGAGTGCTTAATGGGAATTATTTAAAAAACCCAATGCTGCAGCAAGACAGTAAAACTGCCGTTCTTCTCAGCTGCATCTGGAGCTTTTGGTTGACTTTTAAGCCTTGGCTTTGACCTTCTTGATATACTGGACAAGCTTCTGATGTTGGACCTGTTTGTTTGGTTCAGCCATGTATGTTAAAGTCTGAAATCACCAAGTCAATTTTAAACAAATTTTTTCTTTTTTAAGGTATGGAAAAGCTACTATTTTTCCTTTTGCTCTTTTTTAATGATAGCAGAGACCAGAATCTATTTTTGACATTTAAAAGCAGGTTTTCATTATGGGTATTATAGCTAGAGAAGTACAATTCAAAAGAATTCTGCATTGTGAAAATGCACCTTGGAACTCCTTCAAGAATCAGCACTAAAATTAAACCAAGTGTTCTATCTCTTTTGATAAGGAGGGAGACTTGTGGGCATTGAGACAGTTTTGCACATGGCTTGGAAGTCACTGGACTCGTGTGCGGTCCAGCTTGCTCTTGTTCTCAAGGCTTGTGGTTCCCCAAGTTAGAAGCAGAAAATTCCAAAGCACTAAATAAAGCTGGGGTGCTATGATTGATTACGCTCGTTCCACAGCTTTTGAAGATCCTGATAGTGCCGTGGATGACCGAGATAGTGACTACCGCAGTGAGACCAGCAACAGCATCCCACCACCGTACCATTCGACTTCGCAGCCCAACGCTTCTCTGCACCAGTTTCCTGTGCCTGTGCGATTGCCACAGCAGCTGCTACTTCACGGCAGTTGCCGGGACTCTTGCACTGACTCTGTGCAAAGTTATGACTATGACCTCGATTACCCAGAGCGGCGGGCTCTCAGGTGGGTATTGGGAACGAAGCACTTTCTTTTCCTAGTACACAGAGCTCGGAATACAGCTAACATCGCAGGTGTTAAAAACTTTAACATTAAAGTGTTTACCACTTTAACCAGAGGTGGTAGTGGATGTGCAGCAGTAGGACGGGCCAGGCTACAGCCATTTTGTGAGATTCTCAGTCTTTTTTTTCTCTCTCTCTCTTCCACACATTCACATTTTTGTATTTCCATCGGTAATATTTTTATGATTAATAACTCTCAGCTGGCGACAGCGTGCCCACTGGGGTGGGTGGCTGAAAAAGCCTGTTTGTGTCTTTGCCCAGCCCAGAGATTTTGATTTACCCTTCACCACAATCAAAAAGGGGAAATCACAGATGTTAAATGTTTTGATAACCTTTTGGATTTAGTCAGCGTTCGTGGTGCATTACATTTGATATTGCTGGTTCTGCAGTCTCCTATAATCTAATGAAATGTCCTTACTTTTCTTTTTTGGTCTTTTAAAGCACTACATTTTCTGAAGAGTTCAGGCTAGTTTTGAGAATGTCCCTTAATTTTGTTTTTAATTGCTTCTTCGTGTTTAGAATCAGATTAAACATTTTTGGCAAAAACACTATGTACATGTTTCCTTCACATAAGATTACTTTGTCTCATTATTGATGTTTAGTTTGTTCTCTTGGTTAAGAAATCTGTATATACCAGATATTTCCAATGTAAAGTTACCTTTCCCCTTTGTAATTAAGTATATCTGGGGTGATACCTGAGATTGTGTAAATATTCTGTTTCCCCAACAACCTTTAACTTTAGCAGTCACTGATGGTCCTTGCCTGAACCAGTTATTTCATTGGTTGGAGCTGAGTTTTTATTTATTTTTAAAATATTTTATTTCTTTATTTTCTTGGTATGCCATTCCCAGAAGTACTGCAATACTGGGTCAACGCGCAGAGTGGATGGAGCAGCCTCCTATTCCACCTCCCAGCTCCAAAAATCCATTTAATATAATGTCCTCGGAGAGAGGATGTATCAGATATTAAAATGATAAGAACAGATACTACACTTGGTTTTTGTCAGAAGGCCAAGAAGCGATGGAGTTTAGTTTTTGAAAAACCATTCCAATATAGCTCATACTTTTGGTTATGACATTCACTATACCATAGGACGATCTCATTTTTGGGGCCCCCTTACCAAATTGGTGAATATCCTGAGCCTCAGATGGTGATCTACCTGCTAGACATCATTCTGTCTCAGTTTACTATCATTACTGAATATACTTTCAATGAGATTTTTTCATATATCAACCATCAGATAGAATTCTCACTCTATAATCTGATTGTAAAAAGAAATGTGCCAGGAGTCCTACCAATGTTGGTCCCAACTCCTTAGGAACCATTTAATAAATTAAATATTTGTATATGTTATTTATTTGATTTTAGTTATTTATATTTTCCCACTGTAAGAACAAAAACATAATAGAAAAAAATTTTGGCCCCCTTTCTCTTCTGTATTTGCAAACATTAAGTGCAGGCCAGTAGTAATAATGGCACATCAACTTAAGTGACTACGTACTTCGCTGGACAACTGCAGACTACTTAATCATTACCCTATTATCATTTCATTTATTTCCTGGGCTAGTGCTATAATGATAATACTTCAAGGAGCATTAGTTGCATATTCTAAGTTGCAAATTTAGAAAAAACTTTAAAAAATTGATCCCATATAAATTTGATTAAAAAGTAAATAATTCATTATCTTTAGCAGAGGAAAAGTTAATATGATTTTTAAGTAAACTCTTATTATATACATTTTTAACTTAAATGTTTGAAGTGACTTTTAAAAAGTTTTGAAGTAATCGTATCACTAGCATTGATTTTTAAACTTTTTTGTATTGCTATAAATACCAAGTTCTTGGAAATAGTCTGAGTTCTTAAGTTTTTTAAGAGGAACATTTAAAATCCTTGAGGGAACAAACGTGTCTGCAGTACCTTCCAGTAAATTAGAAGTGTAAAAATAAATAGCTCCATTCAATATAGCCATGGCTGTCTATTGATTTTAAGCTGTAACTATAAAGACCTCTCCAAGACTGGAATTAGTTTAGTTTCAGTTTCTGAGGAGACTGGAGATTAACGAAACTGCATGTAAAAAAAAATAGGTAAAGTTGATTTCTTCACTCTATGAAATGGGCTTTTGCCTAATGAGTAATGGGATATGCATGTAAATTATGTAAAAATACAGAATTTGAGGTTTGACAGTAGAATTGGACTTTGTTAGATAATATGTAGCCAAAGTATTTCTAGTGTTAAGAGGTGCCAAAAGACTAATCAGTCTCACTCTTAAAGATTTTTAGTGACTAAGTTACCACTTCGATCTTGTTTCTGTTTCCTGAATAAACACCATTGGATATGAGATCTAAAAAAGAAAACACCGAGCTGACAAGCTTCTAGTCTGCAGGCCTTTCCAACCCCCCTCCTCACTACATGGGAAACAGGTATTCTCTAACCTAACTGACGGAGAGGTCTGCTGTCTTCTGTAGTCATTGACCTAAGCTGCACATGGCGCTCCTGCTGTTGTAAGCAGTGTAGAGAAAGACATTCATTTCACTGTAATCCTCGATGCATACAGCCTTATATTGCACACAAAAACCAAATTATAACCTTTAAATAATTTGCTCTTTTTGGTACTGTAACGAGGTGTGATTTCTGAAAATAAGTCAAAGATTATTTTCATTATGTATATATTTTTTCTTTCTAAAAGTAATATGTCTGACTATATTCTTGGCTTACTGCCTCAGATCTAACTTTCAGCAGGTTAATAGCTTGACTTCTCTTCAGACCCAAATTCATCAGCAAATTTAGGTTTCTTGAAATCTTTTCTTTGATATATTTCTTTGCTATATTTTCATAGAATACTCAATAATTCTAAACTTTGGCATCACAGATGCATCCTGGTATATCAGGGATTTTCAGCTGGTATGCTACAAGAATTTTTAAAACATGCAATACCTGACTATTTGGTCAGGCTCACAGACCTCTTTCTCCTTAAATTATCAGATTAAAAAATGATGATGGCCAATACAACAATAGCCATCTTGTGTGAATGGATCAAAATTACACCTAATTTTTTGTTAGATTGGCAAAAAATATATTTTTTTGGTGTGCTGCAGAATTTTAGTAATTAGTTTATGTGTGCCATGAGATGTGAAAGGTTGAAAATTACTACTATATATTAATAAGACATGTTCATTTTGTTTGTTTCTTTCTTAGAAAATAAAGGATCTAAAAAGCTCATGGTAGCAAGTGAAGTATTTTAAAGTTATTGTTATAGCTGTTCTTTTTTTGATGTGGAAAATACTCTTTGATTACAGTGCTATAATATTGACTTAAAATTATGTGGATTTCCTTGATTTTTTCAGTCCAAATGGCTTTTTATCAAATTGACAATTTTACTAATTCTAGTTTTCTCGTTGAATGTGCACTAAATCTCATCTGTTTCTTTCTTTTCCCTGTTTTTCCTTTTTTCTTTGCCTTACTATTCCTTCAAATTCATTCCTTTATATCAGACAAGGCCTGCAGGCTAAAACTGACAGAATTAGGGTTATGTCTGCTTTCTCTGATGTTGACTGTGAAGAGCAAGAAGGTATATGTAAGCAGATGGAGGGGAAAATATCACAAGAGTTTCTAGAAAACAGTAACATAAATGCAAAAGGAGCAGAACTCAAGGAAATTAGAACTCTTTCAAAAACTGATAAATGTTATAGACAAAAAGTACAACCAAAGTACAAGAATTGGAAAAAGATATCCTCACCAAGCCAAGAAACAGAATTCTCTACTGCCTTTAATTCTGACCTTACGTTTGAAACATCTGTTTGCTCCAGATATCCTCAGAAATATAATACAATTGATAGGAGAAGGAAAAGGAAACCCCTGTGCAGTCATTTCGGAGACAGTGAAAGAAAACAATATGATGAGAGATTAGGAACTAAGACTAACTTCGAAAGTACATATCCTTATAGTGAAAGTTGTAACTTTTGCCACACTGAAAAGAAGAAACAAAATTACCCAGTTTCCCATCCTTACAAAAATGTACTTGTGGTTAATAGTGGCATGTGGACCACTAAGTTGGAAAGTCATGATTATGATCTTCCTGGTTGTTTTAAGAACTGTGAAAAGTTACCTGGCTTAAAACAGCATGTCACTGATTTCATTCCATTGGATATTCTTGAAGATTCTACTAGCAGTACTTCTGATGAACTTCTGGATTCCCCCATTTTTGATAAGCAGGAAGGTTTACTGTCATCAACATGCCCTCCATCCAATGTCCATCATATTGAAAGTTTTCCTAAAGAACATTATGTAGCAAACCCAGCATTCCCTTTACAAAGGATGAATTGCTATGCAAACACACTTGGAGATCTGTCTGGTTTCCCCTTGGAAGAGATGACCCCTTCTACTGAGGAACCCAGGGACCACTATATTGATACAATGGATGAGCTTCAGTGTTTTGTAGAAACAGTCTCAGAATATTTAGCAGAGAAGGAAGAGGAGATTAATAAATTTGGTTCCCTTTCAAAAACTAAAAAAATGCCTACACATAATAGTATTCTTGATAATGCAGAACAGAAAAAGCCTGGGGATCAAATGCCCCCTATAACCATTATCAAGAATGACAAAGACAAGGCCATTTCTTTTCCTGAGCTGAATGGAGTGAAATGTGCTGTTGGTTCTTTGTTTAGTTCACTCACAGAAAAGGTGAGCTCAGGTACAAAGCATCTAACAATCTCAATGGAAAAGCTGGGTTCTTTCATTCCAGAGAAAACAGAAACTCTTAATCAAATAGAGACAATTAATTTGGGATCCAGACCCAGAGCCAAGTCAGTTTCAGAGAAGGATCTTTCCATGCAGTCTCCATTGTCTTCTCAGAATGTTGACAATAAGGATTTTGGCAGACATGACATAACTTTTGAAAATGAGCACATAAGCAGTAAAACTGGAAGTTTAAGCTTTCAGGGTGCAACAGAAACTCTTGGAAGGGACTTTGCTCCACAGAGTCAGAGTTCAGTTATAAAGTCTGTTTTCAGCATGCTAAGTCCATTAAAGACCTTTTTGGAAAAGGACGAAACTAAAAAAGAAGATGACAAAAACAAGCCAAAAAGAGAGGAAAACTTTGTTGGGTGTGGTTCAGAGTCAAGTCAAAGGGAAGGCACCCTTGACAAAGACAGCAGCATTGTTGCTTTAGATAGGAATAATGGAGACAATGCAGACTTGTCCCAAATGCCCACAAATGAGGATTTGTTTTCTTCTCAAACAGCCAATGAACCTTCAAACTTAGATAGTTCTGCAAGTAAGAAAAATGATACTGATAGTCTGTTGGAGCAAAAACCCCATACAGACCTGTCTCTGTTACCAGATGAACCAAAAATATGTGTCAAAGATACTCCAGGACATCCTTGTATAGCTGGTAGTAGAACTACGAACAAAGAGCCTTCTTCAAAGTCATTAGAGGGGGACAGAGTAACTGGTGATGATAATTTCCTTGAGCCACTCAGAAGATCCTTTAGCCAGTTTTTGCTCACTTCCCCTGAAAACTGTTCAAAGGAAACTTTGTCAGAATCTAAGAAAATTCACTCATTGGAGGAAGATGGGTGGGAAAGGATTCCTAAGAAAGACGGACATTCCTTTTCTTTCAGTGGAAAACTACATATTCCATTTCTCAGAGTTCTTAGTCATTCTGAAAAGCAGCAGGATTTAAAAGAGAAAGGAAGCATTTTTCCTTTGTTTAAATTTCCTTTCACTGACAGCCATATCACTGTTAATGACCAGAGTTTTCATGGCTCTGAAGTAACCATCAATGAAGAGATTCAAAGCAACTGCCAAGAAAATAGCAAACTTAGTTCAATAAAATCTAGTTCAGTTCCAAATATTCATAATAATCTAGAAAAGTTTGGTGATACAGAGACATTTAATAAGAATGATAAAAAAAACTGTTCTGAAGATAACACACTTAATAGAATAATGTCTGATTCAGTTCCAAATATAGATAGTGATCTTGGGAAATTTGGGAGTATAGAGGAATTAAATTCAAGTGACCACACAACAGAGGAGAACTGTGAAAGAGATACTTTAGTCATCCCTGAAGTTGTGCCCAAAGAACATGGGCTTTCTGATTCTTTAGGAGAAAGTAAGACTCTTACACAAGTGACATCTTTAACAATATCAGACTCTTCATTAGCATTGATTCCTACCATTTCAAAATCAACCTTGGTTAATGAAATTGGCGAAGACAAACTTGTAGATAAAGCTTCCAAGCAAAGAACCCAAGGAGGCCTCCTTTCTGGCCTATTTAATGGATTCTCTTCTCTTAAAAACTTGTCTAGTTCACAAGAAATAAATTCAAAAAATGATGACTTACATTACAGGAATAACACCCCAAGCTTACTCTCAGGAATATTTAACTTGATATCCAATAGCAGTATGACTGATTGTGAACCAGATGAAGCAAAGTCCATGTTTTTAAGTGACATGAAGAGTTTGAATGGAAATAAGCATTTATCTTTGGATGAGATTGCTGTTACTTCATGTGTGACTTCTGAGAACCAGAGGGACCATGTTGAAAAACAAGAAACTTCTGGCTTGATAAAAAGCTTCTTATCTTTACCTAAAGAAAACATACTATCATCTGATGCTTGGGTTGATAATCATCATTGCTCTTCTGCATGGAAAAACCAGCACAGTGAAAAGCATTGCTCCTCTCCTGAGAACAGTGTACTTCACTGTACGCTAAGTGCTAAGCAGGACCTTGTAGAGAAGTCTTTGCCAAAGAAGCCAACACCACACCATATTCTTGAGGCAAACCTATATGAAAATTCAAATAAGTTAAATTCACCTATACTGAGTACTAACATTCTTGATAAATCAAATCACTCTCAGGCTTTTGAAGAGATGAACAATCCTTTCTGTTATGAATGGGACTCTGATAGAAAAAATTGCTCTAAAAATTCCAGAATACTTCAGCCAGCTTATTATATGTTGAATCAAAATACATTTCCATCAGCTGATGTTTTTTTGTGGCCTGACTCAGAAAACTCAGCAATAAATTTTTGCCAAAAAGATCAAAATGCAAACATCTTGGAGTGGAGAACAAATTCAAATGGTGTCATTTGGTGTGACTTACCGTATGAATCATTCAATCAGTTTACATTTAATGAAGATTACTTATTAAGAGGTGATATGTGGGCAACTAACTCATTATATGGAAATTCTTATCATCTTTCAATTAATGAGACTAAGAATTCACTGGAAGAATTGCCCATTGACTTAAGTTATTCTTCAGGTCATGAAAAGACTACATACCCCATGGCTGATCAAGAATCATTAAGAATGGGTGCAAACTTTGTTTTTTCAAATGTTGGTTATGAATACCAGGAATGGTTGCCATGTTTTGAAAATGGAGTGTGGTGGCCGTCAGAGGATGGAGACTATGGATATTTTGTGTTCCATGATGGTCAATATATCTATTCTCTCCTCACTGATTCTACTGGGCAATATGCTTATTTGTTTATACCTGATTATTCTTATCAAGAGTATTTGAATTGTGACTTTCAGACAAATAATCTGTCAAGTATTTTATTGGATGACAGCATTATATCTCCCTGTAGTTTTAGAGTACTAGACAAGGAGGATATGTTATTGTGGTATGTCGAAGAGGAACCAATTGAGGACCCTCTTGATTTATCTGTAGTTTTGCCTAGAAGTGGTAGGCCAATGTATCTAAATTTAGGACCTTTTTCACAAGTACATGAAGAGTCAAGTTATGGCCAAATGGATCAACCATTAGATTTTTCAGTCTATAATTCTAAAAAAATTGAAGAAGATTTTGAAAATTTTGAAGAAAGTCTGTGTGGTTCTGAAGGCTTTGAATGTGCCTTGGATCTCATAAATCAACCCCGAACTATTGGTAATCATGTCTTAAATAAAAATCAAATTAACAAAGGAGATAAGAACCAGGCTGTAGCTAAGGATTCATTATCTGACCTTTCCAGTTTTCACTGGCTTCAGTCTTCTCAAGAAAGTGCCACTTTGGTTCATCTCGAGAATATGGCTGACAGCCCACAGCAAGCAGAAGAGATGTCATCATTAAACAAAGTGACTTCGTTATTTTCTGCTTTGGGTGCTTCAGTTGGAAGTGCTTTGAATTTTGAAAAGAATGAATCCTTAGAGTCTTCGGCCTTGCATAAAAAAGATCAGCAGTCTAACTTAGCAGTGTTTACAAATGATGATCTTCAGTCATTCATCTTGAGTAAGCAATCAGAGAATAAATCCCAAAATGAGGAGGAGAATCTTCTTAAGAAGGATTCAGAGAGACAAATAGTATCCAATTTTGAACAACTGGAATCTACTGAAAATATGAAGCAATATTTCCCTTTAAATAAAAACATTCATGTGAAAAAACAAAGTTTGTTGAAATCTGTTTTCCAGGTAAGCCAAACAACTTCTCAGGCTAAATTAGGCAAAGAAGATGATGAAATAATCACATCTGACTCTACTTCAGTTCCTCTCGCATCACAGTTTAGTAGTGATGAACACAAGAATTGTGAGCTTCCCCAGGACCAGTCTTCCAAAGAGTCTGAGAGAACATTGTTTAAGAGTGCATTGAAACTCTTTGGTCGGGGAGAAGACTCTTCAGTAAGTCCAACAGCAAATGAAAAACAGGCATCTGGATTTTTGAACCTTTTAAAAAACCAGGTGGATAAAGAAGGATCACCAAACTTAGAAAAGAGTGGTGATAAAAATAAAAAGATGACATCTCAGGAAAAGAATGAATCTTTCACTGTTTCAAATTTTTTTGGTACTCTGGGAGATTTCTTTAAAACCAATGTATCTCCTACACAGACAACTGAAAATATGTCTGTTTCTTCAGTGACTAATAAGGATGAGGTCAAGTCAAGTCCTAATCCCACAAAACCAACTGGGCAGGATGTTGGGAGCTTTCCTGTTGCACCAATTTCATCTAAAGGGAAAGTTCGGATTAGAAGTCTGAATAAACAGACTACTATTGATGACAGTGGACTAAAGGAACCATCAACTAAGAACATCCAGGGTAATAATTTGACTGAAAAAGAGGCATCTTCCAGAGACCACCTAATCCAGCAGTCACCAAATCCATCTTTCTCCAAAAATTGTCTCAAAGAGTCATCAGGAGATTCAGTAGAAACTAGTCATGTGTCTACAGTGACAGAAGTTGCAAGAAGTAACAAAATATCTTTTGATAGTCTGAGCAGAAAAACTTCAAATGAACAAGGTCATTTTTCTGACAAAGACTCGAGCTTTTCAAATGCTACAACACCTCCATCCCAATCAGAGTTGCCAACCAGAAAGTGTATATTTTCTTTCCTGACTGGATCTGAAAAATCTGAGAACAGAGCCTCTGCTACTCTACCAAGAACCAAATCTCAAGCAGAAGGGCTATTCACACTTCCTTCCTTTTTTTCTACTACTAATTCAGGCATCAAGAAGGATGCCTCTCATAATAGCTCTTTTAGTTTCTTCAGCTTGTCCTTTTTGGATGAACAACAGCAGACTCCTGGGGGAAAGCATAACCTTTCAACTGTTACTCCAGTGACTTCCCAGCCCTGTAAGAGGCCAAATGTTTTTGTAGACATGGGTGGCACAATGACTGAAAGTCCCTGTGGCAATACAGATAGCATAGTCCAAGAGGTAGTTCATGAACAGCAGATGACTCCTTGTGTTTCCATTAGCAACACTGTTGAGGTTGCCTTCCTTGAAGATGAGCTCAACATAGGGGAGGCCTATCAAGGAAAACTGGAGTCCGGTAATGGACCTGTGATATCTTTACCAGATTTCCAGATGAATCAATTGCAAAAAGACAATGTTCCTCATTCACCAGGATTTCAGGCACAGACTGAAACACTGCTCATTGGTCCAGAGGCCCTTGGAGTAGCTTCTCATGAAGAAGATTTCATACAGGAAGCCTTCCCTAGAGGCTTGCTGGCCAAATCTTTTTCACACGATAGCCATTTGATCGAAAATCTCAACAATTTAGACACTTGTACTAACCATCACCAAAATGAAAGAATTTCTAGAGACCCACTGAACTTGCCATTAGAAAAGGCCCCTGTTGAGATCTTAACACAGATCGTGGAGCCAACCTCTTCAGGCTCTGTGGAGCCAGGTTGTGCCGGGCACCTCCAGAGCCAAGACACAGATAAAGAGGAAGACAAATCAGTGCTGGATTCTTCAGTAGAGATGCTTTCAGGGTTTGTGACCAAAGTGAAATCTTTCTCTGGGAGCTTAATTGAACCTCCCAAAACTTTCTCTGGATTTTTTTCTTCTAAACCCCCAAAGAAAAACTCCTTTTTCTCTCTGTCTTCTGGTGTATCATCTCAGCCACTCAAAGATGAGTTATTTGGAATTTTCAAAAGTCCCAAACCAAAGACATACAAAAAAGAATCATCTATCCCAGCTACTGCACAGCTTCAAAATGTTAGTTCCAGAGATGCTGTAGGATTGGTACCTCCAGAAAATTTGTGGAGAGATTCTGCTTCTGAATCAATCAGTTTGGAATCTACTCACAGTGACTGTAGCATGAATGTGGTTATTGCAAAGTTGGACTCAGAGACCTTGACAGATGAACCCAACCTAACAACAGAAATGGAAAACAATAATATTCCTGACGAGACCTTGACAGATGATCTAAAACTATTGGCTGAAATGGAAAATGATATTCTTGACAATATCCCGGAATGTCAGGGTTCTGAAACAATTGGGGCTGCATCTTCTGTCTCAGGGGATGATACTGGGCAAGGAATATTATCGCTGAGTGATGAAGGAGACATGGGGATATTGCAGGGTACAGACACAGAGGCATCATTTGAAGCAGAGCATATCTCATTGCCAACACAGTTGCATACAGATCCTCTCTGGATAGCCAAAGAGCTTCCGCCTCCAATTCAGCCACCTCTTCCTCTTGAGCCAGCGCCAGCTATGCAGTCTGCCTCTACAAAACAAGATGTCTTAGAGCCACAGGCAACCAATTCACTAGAAACCAATACTACTACACTGTTCAATGAGACAAGTCCAGTTGGCCAGAGTGCCACACCAGAAACACAAGGGTCCCTTTCTTGCCCTTTGCTAGAGGAACCTGTGCTTTGTGCCAAAAGAAGTTACAGGATAATTGATGCCCAGAAAGATCCAACTATAACCCCCCAGGAAACAGAGCAGCCAAGACCATGTTTTGAGATCCCAAACATGACCAATTGGCCAAAGCTTCATTTCCCATCCTCTGCTATTGACTATGGGAAACCACTGAGCTCGCTCTTTTCCTCGTCTTCCTCCTCTGGCAACAGGGCAGCAGAGACTGGCTTAATGTCTGGTTTTAAAAAGTTGTCAACTCTGTTTGAGGGAGGTAATGAGGAAAAGGGGAGTGTAGTGACAAGTGATCCCAAACTAAGGTTTGGAAAGAAGCTGGATCTTTTATTCCCATGGCCAAAAGAGAACAAAGGGGACCCTGAACAAATGCCTACAGAATCCTCTCCAGTTTGGATTATCAGCAGTGATCAGGATCTTAACTCCAATGAAGCTGACAAAGCTTTGGAGTCTTCTCAAATGTCTGGGGCCAGTGCTGAGCCAGCTAAGGTTTCTATCCAGCTTGCTGTGACCTCTGAGCAGCTGGAGGCCAAACCAAGAATATGTACTCATGAGCTAATAGGGTCTGGAGAAGTGGAAAGCCAACAGGAAATCCCAGCATCTGGAGAAGACTGGGGTACTAAAGACAACCTTTCTGGCCTCACCAGCCCTTCAGGCAATTATGAGAAAGAGCACTGCACTATTTCCAAGCTACTTCACCAACCAGAAACACAAGAAGAGGAGGCAATGCCTGCTAGCACTGACTCTGTTTTGAATGTGCAGCTGCCAGTTACTCTGCATGGCATCAAAGAACTAAAGACCAACAAAAGGCCGGTTCTCAACTAAAGCATCATAAATGCTTTTAAGAAATTGACCATTTATGATGCAGTGGTTTAGTGGTAGATTAGTCATAGCCTGCTTTTTATCCTGTGTCTTTCCTAGCACCTGAGCTTCATGTTAATTAGAGGTTAAGTAACAAGAAATAGTGTGTGGGTCTTTTCATCCTCTCCCTTCTCTCTAGTGCCAAATTTAATTTGTTTATTGGAAGAAGGAGCTTCCTGCTTAAAGGAAAGGCTAGGCCCTGAGATTTACTCACTCTGATTTTCTCTGCCTTATATAACGTGGAATAGAGAAAGGAGGGTAGGAAGAGACTGCAAGTAGTTGAGTAGCATATATTAATTACAATCACATGATGGGACAGGATGCTCCCTTGTACCTTTGGCACTTAATGTCTGTAGTAGCTGGGGAGGGACTGCTTTGTTTTTGTAAGTCTTCTAAGATGCTTTCTCCAGTGGTAATGAGGATATTAAGTAAAATACAAACTGCAAAGGATGGCTTAAGATAATCTATATTCTATATCCCATTCCACTGAATTTGCATAACTTCCTGTAGTCTCTGCCTTTTACTGTCCTTGAGAATGGTGTCTAATAAGTGTTTTGAGTAAAGTCTCACAGGAGCTCTGGGCTAATGTTTGCTGTAGTTCTTCATTCTGGACCATTGTTCAGGGTCTATCTGCAAATGGTCCTATCATTTCTGCTAAGAAGAAGCACCATACAGTGCAGTTTAAGAATGATGCCTTGATCTCTGGCCCAAAACTGCCCAAAGGGGCCAGTCAGGGGCTTCAGGGGTGTGTGCGGGAGGTGGAGGTGGGTGTTGGGAACTACTCAGAACAGTAACCTGGTATCTGTCCTGTTCCCATGGGATGAAGGATCAGAAATCAGCCTGGAAGTACTAGGTAATTGAGAGGAATCATAGGGAAAATATCGTTGGAAAACAACCATTTATCTTCTTTTAGCCAAGAATAAACATAAGCCCTTTAGTTAAAGGTTTGACCCTGGGGCAAAGAAATTCTTTGTCCTTTTTCATGGAGGTTTTCCAACCAGACAACAGAAGTAAAATGAGGACCCCTGGCTTGGGATAGAACTATCCGAATGTGCTGGGATAGACCTTGTAGCTCATCACCAAGTTCCTCTATCTTGAATAGGTCAGAATCCCTTACGTTCAGTGTATAGCTGAAGGGAGTAACTTCTGGATACTGCTCTTCTTTCTGGCCATGATTCGTTGTCACTTTCTCTGCTACAGCTGCTATCTGTCATAGCGGGAAAATAAATTTTCTTTCTGGATATGGGGATTCAGTTGACTGAGAGAGGGTTGGGCTGGCCTCTTTAGGTAGAGAAGTTCATTATTATGGCCCTGACCTAGATCCTGGATTTGAACTTTGCCCACTCTATCCAAAACTCAGCTATGTCCTGAGAGCAACTCAGTTACAGATGGGCAAGTTTATCTTTGGGACATTCCCTGTGCTTCTATTACCTCATTATGCAGATGGCCAAGAGATAATTGAAGGAATGTGTCCACTGTCCTTTGCTCATCCTATGGGATAGGTATTCACATTTACAAATGTAGAGTAAGAACAGGAGACTTCAAGTTAACAAATAATAGCAAAAGGGAATAGAAATCATCTACTTTATTATGTGGAAATTAGAAAACTAATCACAGCCACTGGACAAATTTCTTTAGAAGTCTGAGTAAAGAATTTTAGACATAATAATTTTTGACTTTTAATAATTCTTTACCTACTTATAAATATCACATTAAGATAAAGCATTCTTCCAAGTCAATTTTATAGGGTTGAAGTTAAGTGCTGTTCGAGAAAGTGACATGTGTTTTTTCCCTGTTGTGACTCTGCTGAGTAGATACTAGTTCTAGATTGTAAAGTTTGGTCCTCTTTTCCTAGGAATGTCCTGTTTGTTATTCATCATTTCCCAGATTCATCCATTACATTTGCCCTGGTCCTTAGTGTCCATTTATTTACTCATCTGTCTTCTCCTTCTCACAGCCCTACCAGCAGTAGTAGGTATGGCTCCTCCTGCAATGTGAGCCAAGGAAGCTCTCAGCTGAGTGAACTAGATCAGTGTCATGAACAAGATGATGATCGTCGGGAGAGGGACTCAATTCATTCCTGCCACAGTTCTGGTAGTCTCTCAAAAGATGGCCCAGTGGGTTTTGGAGAACAAGTTAAAGCCTTGGAAGTGACAGGTGAAGAAGAGAAGGGGAGAGCATGTGAGTCCAAGGAGAAGAAACAAGATGTCACAGCCTGTCCTACCCCAGATCTGGTGCTACACAAAGACCATGTCCCAAGCCCCCAGGAGAGGTAGGTGATGGCTGTCCTGAGGAGCTCACAGCGTTTCCTCATACCTTTCCTGTTATATTGCTGAGTATAGTGCTTTTCATTTGTTTCCCTACAGCTGGGTTTGGCTGGGTTTGGTGGTGATCAGGGTACTGAGGCTTAGCTCTTCATTGCTTCCTCTGATTTTTGGTATGCGTCCCAAGATATATTTTTTAAGATTTTATTTATTTATTTTCAGAGAGAGAGGAAAGGAGGGAGAAAGAGAGGAAGAGAAACATCAGACAGTTGCCTCTCACACCTCCCCAAATGGGGACCTGGCCTGCAACCCAGGCATGTGCCTTGAAAGGAAATCGAACATGTGATCTTTTGGTTCACAGGCTGGCACTCAATCCACTAAGCCAAACCAGTCAGGGCCCAGGATATTTTGAGGATTTCTGAAGAATTCTTGGGTTCCTTGTAGAACTACAGTATTCTAGATAGCTACACTGTTCCTTGACAGCTACAGTGTTCCAGACTTTCTTGAGTCTGCAGTTCTTGGCTTACTAATTGACCCCATATATGGTAGCCTCCAAGTTTGGAACTGACCTGAGCCCTGATGATTATTTCATTCAAAGGAGCTGCTTAGAATGAAATGGCTTTCCAGCATATTAATGTTAAAAATTCTTTCTTTCTTTCATTTTTTATTGTTGTTCAAGTACAGTTATCCCCATTTTCACCCTGCCACACATCCCCGCCCCACCCATCCCTGCCTCCCACCCTTGAACTTACCCCCATTGAATTTGTCCATGTGTCCTTTATACATATTCCTTGATGGCCCTTCCCCTATTTTCCCCCATTATCCCCTTCTCCCCTCTGGTTACTGTCAGTTTGTTCTTTATTTCAATGTCTCTGGTTATATTTTGCTTGCTTGTTTGTTTTGTTGATTAGGTTGTACTTATAGGTGAGATCATATGGTATTTGTCTTTCACACTTCTTTTGTGAACATTGATTTTTGTTTTGTGTTGTTTTTCCTTGGCCGAGAAAACCAGGACAGAGTTGAGATAGAATGGGTATGGAAGCCAGATCTAAGTCCCTTCTGCCTCCCAGGGCCTAGCAGTGTATCTGGAAATTGGTACCCATAAGAAAAATTTTAAATATGCCCTTTTAACAGTCTTATAATAAAGCTTAATACAGAGTTTGAATGTTATTATTGAGTTAAATGTGTCAGTAATGTTGGTGATAAGTCAGGGCAGAGCAGGCTTTCTCAGTTTTGGCATTATTGACATTTGGGGCCAGATAACTCTTTGTTTTGGGAGCTATCATACACATTGTAGGATGTTTACTAGCATCCCTGCTCTGTACACACTAGATGCCAGTAGCAACCCTCAGTGTGACAACCAAAGATATCTCCAGGTATTGCCAGCTTTCCCCTGCCCTCGTCAAAAACCACTTGGGTAGAGTGATAAGGGGAAGGTGTGACTTAGATTTTCAAATATCAAGGTCTAATAATAAAGCTTGTCCTGAAAGATCAGAGCCATGAATGCTGATTATGAGGTAAAAGTTAGAGAATGGATGTTATGTCAACTCTACCACTGGACGCATAAATGTATTTCCTCTTTTCCTTTTTTCTGATCATCACTCATTTCTGGTGGCTCATCTAATAGATGAAACATCCAGGAAACTGAGTGCTGGACCAGCTTTTTTACCGGGTTGACAACCCACTGAACTATGGCTCTTTCTAGACTTTAAACTTGGTAGATGCTGTTGTCTGGTAGAGTTCTTGGTAGAGCAGCAGAAGTGATCAGCATGAGTATTTGTCCTCTACTGGCTGTGTCCTCTCAGATCCTAGCTGCGAGAGTAAAGTCCATGTCTACTTGGCCAGAAGGGCCTGCAATTGTTTTAGAACAATCGACCCATGTAGTTGGCATTAGAGCCCAGCATGTATATTTTACATGTATAGATAGTAGATTCTTATTTGCTGCCTTGGAAGTACACCACAGTGTGAGACAGGAGAAGCATTATCACCGCGAATCAACCACTATTCCACAGTCATCCATCATCCAAGTACCTGGATGATGACACAGGGTAGTATTTCTGTCTCAAAGCTACTTGGTTATATTTACTGTTCATTTCACAGAGGGTGTTCCTGAGGCAGCACAAGAAATAAGACCATGGCAAAAAAGAGGCTGTGCTTTTTTTCTTAGCACCTGGACGGTATAGTCTAGGAATTAGTAAACCTTCCAAAATACTTAGCAGAAAAGGCATGAACAAAATTCTGCCCTAAAGATTCTATGTAGAACCCCCAAGGGAGACTGGTGGTTCTGAAAGGTGGATGAGAGAGTTATTCCACACCTCTCTGCATAGTTTTAATTCTAGACATTTACTCAGGGCCTTTATCATTGCTGCTAGTATCCTGATCCCTGAGCTGCCTCATTGGGTGAGTAAAAAGGGGGAAGGAGGAGGGGGAAAGATGAAAAGCTCAAAGGAGTTGTCATTTCAGGGAGGAACTTTTCCCACATTGGATATTCAGGACTATGCTGTTTGAGTGGCCTGAATCACTAAACAAGTATAGGCATGAATATAGATCATTTTAGTTTAGATATTTGGCAGTGTCACCTTGTGGCCTGGGCTATTTTTAATTTTTATTGAATTTATTGGGTGATATTGGTTGATAAAATTACATAGGTTTCAGGTGTACAATATGTCATCTGTATATCGTGTTGTGTATTTACCACCCCAAATGAAGTCTTTTTCCATCACCATTTTGGCTGGACTATTTTAAAGGAATGTTCTTTTCTTTACTAGTTTTCCTGAGGAGAATGCGTCTTCACCATTCACCCAAGCCAGAGCACACTGGATCCGAGCAGTCACCAAGGTTCGACTCCAGTTGCAGGAGGTAGGAAATCTATTGTTCTAGTCCTAGTTGGGACAATTTTTCATTTGAAATTGGGAGACATATGGTACCGAAGAAGCAGTCAGTGATTAGTCATCTTAGTGTGCATCTGGGATGCGTGACAAGCAAGCTAGAGCCTTAAGAGATGGGAGGGTGGCCATCAGCTTCCTTCTTTACTAATTAATGGAAATCAAATAGAAGTAGTGTGTTAAGAGTCTGAAGATAGAGTTAAAGGCTGTTTTTAGTACCATAATCACCTTGAGACCATTTTATTTTGAATGGGGACTGTTTCAAGGCCTCTCAGGGTCAGTTGTTTTACTTGGCCAGCCAGTTCACGTAGCGTTAGCTGGCCCACACAGAGCTAGCTATTGTACACACTGTTCAGAAATTTCTATGGGTTTCCTTAATTTAAGGCTTAAAGCATCAACACAGTAAGATCTGAAACAATGTAAAAAAATTAAAATTAAAAATTTTTAAAATTTTTAGTAGTATAAGTTTGAAATGTTTATATCTATGTGTCAGTAGGTAGTCTACAGACAGAAAAGATGTATTTAAATGACAAGTGGCTATCAGTATAATACCTGGCAGATGTTAAAATTCAAGCATGCTCATATGGGTAAACACCCTTAACATTTTTTTGAACTTAGGGAAAAGTGGCTCAAAAAGTCCTATAAAGATCTCCCATATCCTTCTCGTCAAGATGGCACAATTGTTGACATTTTACCACATTTGCCTCATTGTTCTCCATTCATCATGATTAATCTTTTTCTAAACCATGAGAGAAAGTTGCAGATACAATGTTCTATCACTTCTAAATGCTCCTATTTGTATTTTCCCCCAAATAAGACTACTCTCCTGTGAAAGCACAATATAACCATCCAAATCCGGAACTCAGCGATGACAACACTGTCATCAAGACCCCATGCAGATTTTGCTAGCCATCCCCAAAATTTCTTGTCTTTTTTCTGGTCCAGGATCCAATCCAGACTTACATGATGTGTTTAGTAGTCGTGTCTCTTTAGTCTCCTTTAATCTGGAACCATTTCCTAGTCTTTTTCATCTTCAAAAGATGGTACAGGCTTTTCATTTTGTAGTGTGTTCTTCATTTTGGGTCCATCCAGTGTTTCTTCATGTCCCCACTCAGACCATGCTGTCTTGGCAGGAATTAATCAAAAGTGATGCTGAGCTCTTTTTATGAATCACTTCAGAAAGTGCAAGATGTCAACCTGTCCTAGCCCTTGTGATAGTAACTTTAATCACTCAGTTAAGTTTGTATTGGCCAGGTCTCCACATATGAATACAGTTATCATATATACAATTTTTAAATGAATATACACATATTGAGAGATATATGCAAATAGAGTTCTACCAAAAAGTGCTGCTTATCATCACTATTGGGAGTCTGTTGATCTAGACTGACATGAGATAAACATTTGGAGTGAACAGTTACCAAGTCAGTGTCATAATACTTATTAATGCTTTATTTCTAATTTTTCAGAAGTCTTGTAATTCTTATTATACAGGAAAGTAAAATAAGTAATCTTCATACAGAAGAACAGTACTGAATGAGAAAAACAAGAATATATTGGAGCAGAAACTGTCACGACTGTTTCTTAAGAAGCAGTTCAGAGTCTCTCAAAAAGAATAGCTGAAAACAGTTGCCAAAGCTTGGAATCATTTACAAAAAAAGCATGGTTCATTTAGGAGTGATTAAGAACCTTTGCCACTTAACTGAATAAGGGAACGATTATAAGTGTATTCTTAACACAGGTAATGAAAGTAGAAGCTGATTGAGTGTGAGCAAAAGAAGAAAGACGAGCTAGAGTTCAAAGCAGGATTTGATAACAGTTTAAGATAGAGGCAGAAGTACACAATTTATGCTCCAGATGAGATTTGTTGACAGATTGTTTGAGGTTTTGAGACAGTAAGAAATGTGGCAAAAAGTGTTTTCTCTGAGTGGTTGTAATCTAGTCACCCCTTAATGCTCTGCCCAAAGATAATAATTTTTGTTAGTCTTATTATTATAGAATTTCTTTATGCAAGTGCAAGCAAATATGAATATATGTTCTTTTTTAAATTTTTTTTATTGATTATGCTGTTACAGTTGTTCTATTCCCCCCCTTCATCCCCCTCCACCCTACCCCCCGTCCCCACCATTACCCCCCTTTAGTTTATGACCATGTGTCTCAAGTCCTTTAGATTCTATATTTCCCATGATATTCTTGCTCCCCCATCTATTTTCTATCTACTGTCTATGCTACTTATTTTCTGTACCTTCTCCCCCCTTCTCCTCCTCCCACTCCCCTGTTGCTAACCCTCCTTGAGATCTTCATTTCTATGTTTCCACTCTGATCTAGCTGTCCTTTTAGTTTGCTTTTGTTTTAGGTGTGGTTGTTAATAACTGTGAGTTTGTTGTCCTTTCACTGTTCATGTTTCTTTAACTTCTTTTTCTTAGATAAGTCCCTTTAACATTTCATATAATAAGGGCTTGGTGATGATGAACTCCTTGAATTTGACCTTATCTGAGAAGCACTTTATCTGTCCTTCCATTCTAAATGAAAGCTTTGCTGGATAGAGCAATCTTGGTTGTAGGTCTTTGGTTTTCATGACTTGGAATACCTCTTTCCAGCCCCTTCTTGCCTGTAAGGTCTCTTGAGAAATCTGCTGACAGTCTGATGGGAACTCCTTTGTAGGTGACTGTCCCCTTAGCTCTTGCTGCTTCTAGGATTCTCTCCTTCATTTTAATTTTGGCTAATGTAATTATGATGTGCCTTGGTGTGTTCCTTGTTGGGTCCAACTTCTTTGGGACTCTCTGAGCTTCCTGGATTTCCTGGAAGTCTATTTCCCTTTGCCAGATTGGGGAAATTCTCCTTTATTATTTGTTCAAATAAGTTTTCCACTGGTGGCTGTGCCTTTCCCCCTTCTGGTACCCCTATAATTCGGATGTTGGAATGTTTAAAGATGTCCTGGAGGTTCCTAATCCTCTCCTTATTTCTTTGAATTCTTGCTCCTTGACTCTTTTCTGTTTGGCCATTATTTGCTTTCTTCTGGTCTACTCCCTTATTTTGAGTCCCAGTTTCCTTTTCATTGCTGTTGGTGTCCTGTGCAATTCCATTCATTTCAGTTAGTTTCACCTTCATATATTTGTCTAATTTGTGGCTATAATCAACCAGTTCTGTGAGGATCCTGATCACCAGTGTTTTAAACTGTGCGTCTGAGAGTTTTGCTATTTCTTCATCGCTTAGATTTATAGGCTCTGGGGCTTTGAGATCTTCTTGAGTCATTTTTGGTCTGTTCGCACCCTTTAAGTGTGAGGAGCCGAAGCCTTGGACTCCCAGGTCGCTGGGTTATGACGCTGTATGTGGGGGCGTGGTCAGAGTGGGGAAATGGCGACCCCCTCTGCTGTTTCTTGCCGCTGGGTGAGGAGCAGCGCCTTAGGTGGTTCACCAGGGCCGGGCCACTCAGGGTCGCTGAGTTATGACGCTGTATGTGGAGGTGGGGTCAGAGCAGGGAAATGGCGGCGCCCTCCCTGCTGCTTGCTGCGGGGACCCGCTGGGTTCCGGTCCAATCGCCCACTCCCTCGCTTGTCTATCTGTGCACCAATGCGCGACCACAGTCAACCCGCAGCCCGGCTCCCTTGCTGTTTCCCCCGCGGTCGCTCGCTTCGTCGCTCGCGGTCACTCAGTAGGTCCAACCCTGCGCCTGGATTCCGCACGCCTGAGTCCGTCCGACCGAGTTTTCCTGTGCGACCCGGCTCCACCAGATGATCGTATTGCCCCTTACTGGTCAGGCTGAAGAATTTGTTGTTAACAGACTTCTGAAAAGTTCAATTTTCTGTGTTCTGGCTGTGTTTTCTGTTGCTAATATTTAGTTGTCTCTAAACTTGGTTGTGTGAGAAGGCACGGCATATCCACCTATGCCTCCATCTTGGCAGAAGTCTGAATATATGTTCTAATCTTCCATCCCTATTCTTTTTAAAAAAAGATGTTATAGTGTATACACTAAGGACATCTTCCTCTTTTACTTAGTCTTCCATATTAGCTGTAAGAGTACTTTTCTTTTTAACAGCTTTGTAATATTCCACTGTACTGTAAGCATTTAGTCTCTATTGTTGTTTATTTGGTTGTTTCCAGTGATTTGCTATAACATATCATATTCTAGATGAGTACCTTTTACATATTACTTTGGATGTATGCATTTCTGAGAGGATATGCATTTATAATTTTGATAAATATTGCCAGATTGCCTTCCATTTGTCAGTGGTTTAAGAGAACAAAGGTTTATTTTGTTCATGTGCCTTGTCATTCTACATGTTCAGGAATTCTGCTTTAAGTTGTCTTTTCTCTGCAATCCAGGCTGATGGCATAGGCTGCACCTAGAACATTCCCAGTTTTGGTGGTAGAGAGAAAGAAAAGATAATAATTGAAAGAGAACATAGCAAATTATACTCTGGCTCTTAAGACTCCTGCCCAGAAGGTACAATATGTCACTTTTGCTCACACTTCCCTGGCTAAAGCAAATCATATAGCCGTATCTAACTTCAGGGAAGTAGTACCTATACCACGAAAGAGATAGAAAAGAATTTGTGAACAGCTTTAGCAATTATTCAAAAGCATGTCTGCCTTCAGCATAGATTGTACCAATTTATACTCCTACTAATACTGTCAGGAGGGTGCTTTTTTTCTTCCCAAACCAAACCAATAGAACGACTTGTCAAACTTGGATTTCTGCTAGTCTGCAAGACAATGGTATCTCAGTAGATTTTAAGTTTACGTATTTTATGATCAGCAGAGTTAAGCATGTTTTCATATAAGTAAAGGCTATTAGTATTTACTTTTCTGTGAACAGTCTGTTCATATTTTTTTGCCCATTTTTTTCTATTGAGCTCTTGATTCCCAGGAGCTTTTGAGTGTTCAGTATTTTTTCGCAGCATATCATTGCAAGAAAGTTTTTTAACCTTAATGAGCCATGTTTTCCTACTCCAGAAAATGGAGAGGATAATA